GTTCATATATCTGATTTTTTAGCTTAAATCCTTACTGATTTAATCTAAAATTAGATGGAACTTAGCTCCTTTTGTGATATAATGTAAACAGATATATACTCAGTACTTAATTGATAGTCATTTAAAATTTCAGTGATTGAACACTATCATTCTTAACATGGTAGACATCTCGATACTTTAAGTTAATAAATCAGGTTAAACCAAGTAACTCAATAACTGTCTTTTATCTACGAACTCCATGCGCTGATAAGCATAAATTTCGTAGCTAATTATTTATGAATTTCATTCATTAAATCTATACAAACACCTATCGTGTGTGTTATAATAATATTATTAATGTTAGTTAACAGACCACAATAAAAACTAGCTAGAATGTTCACCTCATTTATAACTTCCTAACAGGATAATATCATTAACAATAAGAAGTAACTTATTGAGATGTTCATTAACAAAATGATAATATGTTAAGAAACGTGAGTGAATTAATTCTATAACAATAAACATTTCATAGAAGTTGATGAATCTGAAATTGAATGAAACACATGTACTTAATTCCACAGTTTATTTTACTTCATTCTAATACAACTGTCCATTGAAAATACTATGCTCTACACAAACTAGATAATATATGATAAAGAAATAAAGAAGTGAAGAGTATAATCAAAAACATAATTATGTAGGTGTATAAGAGGAGATACAGTTCAGACAAAAATACAATCAAAAAGTAATTTTTTCTAGTTAAAAAAAAGCTTCCTCTCAGTTTATGAAGAACGTAAAAGAAAACTACAATAGGATCACCACTTGTTTTAATATTTAGTCATGTCTGATAATGTCTCAATCCAATGAGTTACATCAATTCAAAGACTTCAGTCAGGAAGTTGTGATGGATTGAAAAATATTAATTCTATATAAATTTATTTTGCACCATGAAGCCATGTCAAAGGCTGATGGCCTCTACTCCTTTTCTACCCATTTCAACCATTGAATAATAATGCATGACATGTAAGTCACTCAAAAGATAATCATAAAACATATCCAATCAACTGAAGATAGCATTCCAAGATAACAAACAACAAGTGAACTACCAAAGCGTATCTGGACATGGTGATTTCACTGTCAGACAAAGTGCAAATATATTAGTATGTACATTTCATAAATTTATTAACATGACATTCATTGTTAACATTTCTTACCATTTTACATTATATGATTCCATTCAACTTGTCTTATGTTAAAGAATTCACTTTTTATTTTCCTAAAAAATTGACAGAATCCTAATCCATTTTGTTTTGATTTGGCACAAGAACATATCTACAATCTAGTAAGAACTGATTCATATGCACGTTTCTTACGATCATCTGATTATTTGACATTATTAAATAATGCAATGAAAGCATCATCAACACACCAAACAAAGTAGATCAATCGCTAAAACGATCATAGTGAAGTTTACAACAAATAAATGTACCTATATGAAAAACTTAAACATCCACAGACAATTATTGTTCTGTATTACTATAGTTTGTAGTCAATATATGGTTACAACATTTAATTTACTTTATTTTTGTATTAATATTGAAATGAATTTTGCTTGTTCAGGTTCATTAGGTTGTAGATATTTTCCTGGATTAAAAGAGTGAAGAAAACTGATTGAATATTTTATAATGCGAAATTGAAAGGATTTGTTTATAACTAGAAATAATACCTTATTATCGTTCTTTCCTTGTTGAGTGTATTACAAAAAGATTAATTCAAAACAACCATAGACAATTTGTAGATTAATACATCTAAATCGAAAACTTGAATGATTTCCATCCTGAACTCATCACAGTATAGGACGAGTTTGAATTACAACAATTGCTTCTAGACTGTTGTTGGCCCATCAGAAAACAGGCATTGTAAATGAATAACTTACGGTAAAAAAAATATAACAAAGCATCTTTCTAAACACTTATAAGTACAAAAGCACCGTAGACGTCCCGAGATTGACCAGTTTGGATAAAGCCTTTAGGAATATGGTTAATTTACGTGCTATATCCATTGTCCATAGAAATAATTAAGTACTTGATCCGTTTTACTCCTTTTTAATCTATGACTCGATATTAGGTAGTAGGTCCCTCGACTCTATCTGAAATTCAAAAGTCTATCGTTAGTCTGAAACGAGGAAGAGCAGCTGGTCCAGATGAATTGGTTCCAGAGATCTTTGAGGATGATGGTCCAATTTTAGCTAGAATCTGGGAGTTGGACGTTATCCCATCTGACTGGTCACAATCACTTATCGTCCCAATGTATAAGAGAGGGTCAAAATCATCCTGTGACAACCATGGAGGGATTAGTTTAACTAATATAGCATCTAAAATACTAGCTCCGATAATTATCGGACGCATAACTAAGACTCGTGAACTAAAAACACGACGAAATCCGGCTGGCTTTAGACCTGGTCGTGGCTGCATCGACTACATATTCACTATTCGTCAGGTTCTAGAACACAGGCATGCTTATCGGTGTCCGACAATGGTGGTCCTTCTTGACTTGAAAGCAGCATTTAACTCTGTAAACCGCGAGATTCTGTGGTAGTGTCTGTCACTGAAAGGCGTACCTCAGAAGTACATAAACCTTGTGAAGGTTCTTTACTCTAACAATACTAGTCGAGTCAGAGCTTATGGCGAACTGTCATCTGCTTTTGCAACCTCAAATGGTGTCCGTCAAGGATGTCCACTATCTCCATTTCTGTTTAACGTCATCATAGACCTACTGATAGGAATAACGCTCTCATCGACTGAATTATCGGATATTGATCTCCTACCAGGAGGTCCACTTATCGAATTAGAATATTCAGATGATATAGTCCTGTTTAGTGAAGACGCTGATAAAATGCAGTCTTTTGGTAGCACTGAGCAACAATGCCAGAATGTTTGGAATGCCCTTCTCTCCCTCTAAATGCGAGTTGTTGCTTCAAGACTGGTCTGCGTCAACACCTGAACTAAGGATAGGGAGTGGAGTAGTCGAACGCATTGACAACTTCACTTATCTTGGAAGTCTGATCAGCCCTAATGGGTTGGTGTCTGACGAAATCTCAGCATGGATTCTAAAAACTCGTTCGGCTTTCGCCAACTTACGTCACTTATGGCAAAGGTGAGATATCCGTCTATCAATAAAAGGACGAGTATACTGCACGGCAGTTCGTTCTGTTTTACCTTACGGCTGCGAAACATGGTCATTAAGAGTCGAAGATACTCGTAAGCTACTAGTATTTGACCACAGATGCCTTATAAATATTGCTCACATCTGCTGCGATCACCGGCTAAGTAATAGTGAAGTTAGACACAGGATATTAGGGAGTGATGGTAAATCAGTTGATGAGGTTGTGAGTCTTCATCGACTGAGATGGTTGGACCACGTGTTGTGTATACCTGAACACCGGATTACCATGACGCTCAGTGCTGACTAGTGTTAGAAATGGTTGGAAGAAAGTTAGGGGCAGCCAAACCAAAACGTGGCATCAGTGGTTGAAGTCACTAACCTCTAGTCTGTGTCATGTTGGTAGATGCAGACTACTTGGTTGAGGTCCGCGTGACCATCGTAACCAATGGTTGGAGACTTAGGGTGATACAGCTCAGAATCGATCACAATGGCGTAGGTGTATACACTTTCGGTCTTCCTTTAAACCGTGAGATTAAAATCGCTTCATATCTTTCTTTCTACGAACTAATTCTTTCTTCCTGTACTATGTCCTTATATGCAATCTTTCTTTTATATATTACCACCATTGAATTAACTACTTTTATGAATCCGGTGTTTATTTTGCTGTGCTAATGAGGTATGGTAACTTGAACTGATGCATATATGTGCCTGATCCTACGTTGTAGCTGACTGACTGACGCTATTAATTGGAACATTCTGAGGACTATACAGATACATTTGTAGTGCTCATCTTACATGGTCGAAACAAGTATGATTCATTTCTTAATCTCATTAAAAATAACCGGTCATTTTGATTATCCTAATTGGCCCGTCGATATACCGTTTTTATCTTCATGATTTAAGACTAGCAATCAGAAGTCGCACAGTTGGATTCGACAATTTTGTAAAACTTTAACCAACGCTTTTATAAAAAAAAACTTCAGCTGATTCTCACTCTTACTTTGCTAAAACTGTCGCTATATGTACAGAGTTGTTTCGTTACAGTTTTGACTTTGTAAATAGGGTATCCTGCACCGAGTTCGTTACTTCCACTACTCGGCGGATTATTGTTGAAGTATTGTATCAGTCGCCCGGTCTATTGACTTAGTGAATATCCAGCTCCTTACTAAAACGACAATCCAACTGTTTGTAATTACTGTAGACCTCAGAGATACCCAACAGAATTATAGCTACCATTCAGTGAATGTTCATCTACCAACTCATTCCACGTGGGTCCAAGCAATTAAGTCATTTAATTTTAAATCAATCCTTAACAATTGAACACCAACTAATGAAACTGGAGCTTGACTACTTTATCCTTCGCTTTATTTTATCAGACTGTACTACTGCACTGTGTTCAATGTTGATCTTTCTCGATGGAAAACAATAGCTTGATTTTTTCATTTGTAATGATTATGTTATGTACATATCTTCCACTGTCTTGCTTTAGCTTATATCAGCTACAAATGTTCAAATTTCTACAGAGACTTAAGTATGAATTATCTAGTATGCAAGACATTTTATGTTCTTTTATTTCATATGTTGAATTCAATTTAGCAATTAAAATTCCATCTGACAATTAAAGTGTTAAGATAAAACATTATCAGTATTATTGAATGAAGTTAGAAATATAAATAATTGGATTAAGACTCAGAAACATGAAGCTTCTTAGTCCGATCCTTGACTAGGTTCTAAGTGTGTGTTGCTGAAGAATCCAACATTAGGATGAAACAGCTATCCCGTCCATCCTGGTTCTCAGTGATAACATCATGTTAGAATGATCCTTGACATTAAACACCAAATATCTTTTGCAAGATAGTTTGATAGAACATTTATTATCCGCCTCAACACGTTAGTTATATGGTATGAATGAATGCGTGTACATATTCTCGACTATTACGGAAGACACTGCTTTCTGAGTAACATTTACTACAGAAAAAATTTAACATTACTGAGTAAACTTGACAATAATTTTAGGTTTACATTTTAAACTACTAGAAAAGTATTTGAGTAGAAAAGAACGTAGCAACAAAATAGGTAGACGCATACATTTTTTCAGTTATACACTTGGGATCTTTCATCTGTTTTACACACGAATAAATGTGTCCAACTTAAAATCGCATTTATTCTTTCACCATTCATTAGCAATAAAACTGTCGAAAAATTCAGGTTGATCATTAAGCTAAAATATATAGTTATCGCTTTATTGAATATAACAACTAATGATATCAAAGTATGTTGGCAGTTGCTACGATTTGCAACACAAAAGAAAAAATACATATGGTAAAAACAAATCTAAAGAAAGAAAATAAAATCTAGAATATAGTAGGGATATCCCAGTTTCGGATCAGTCGTTACTTGGAGGTATTTAACCAACCACTCAAGTAAATTACACTTCCTTATGTGCATCAAAACAACAGCCAGTGACAACGTAAATTGATGTCACACTTGGATCCACACAACTATGACGCTATTACTTTCTAGTAGTAATTTAGCTATTGTCCCTTGACGAAATAAAACAGCGTAGTGAAGGTTCATCACATTAACGATTGAATAGCTTTCCTTGCCAAGAACTTTGTACCTTACAACCACACGTTCGGTAGCTTTACCTCAATACTTCGAAGATATTGATGATCAAATGTCTCCTTATTAGGGCAACCATACATCCCGATAATATAATAAACAAATTAAGGTGGAAAAAAACGGAGGAAGAAGTATTTTTCGATGAATAAGTGACAAAACTGAAGCATCATATATATAAATTTTTCAGATATTTAAAAAAATAAAGATCTACCACAACCTCTTCCAACAAATTGAAAAAATATGGTGATATGAATAAAATAATACATCGAACAAAAAATATCTTCACAAAGAAACATAAATATCCACAGCATTTTGATCAAAGGAAATGCATTGATACACCAAAGACATAAATATACATCCACAAACAGGTATATATGTATATGAAACAGGTTCAATTGAAATTCATTTCTGCAAGTTTCAAAGCCTTACGACCTAATGCTTCAGCTTTGGCGACAGCTAACAGTTCTGGTGATGTTTGACACCAACCGGAACGTCTACGATCAGCGGTTAAAGACGTAAACTCTGGGGATTTAAGCAGGGATTGCTTTGAAGTAGAACTTGTTAGTAGTTGACGTTTCTGTTGTTGTGATTGTTTGACAAACGGTGATGATTGCTTCGGTGATTGAAGTTTAGGCGCTGATTTCAATGTATCTTTACGAGATTTAGACAAGTTATGTTGACTAACAAATGACTCATCATTATCACTGTCTGAAAACAAATCAATTAGTCGAGTTCGGACACGTTGTTGAACTGCAGAATTACCATGTTTACTACTACTAGTACTACTAGGACTCAAAAATCTATTACCGGATACCGTCGACATAAGTCCACCACCATCAGGAGTAGATGCTTTAGTTGGTGAATTTAAACATATCGATCGAGAATTCAACGTTTTCACATTAGTTCTTTTAGAGCTGAATAATTGTAGAATGAGAGATTTAAGCGAAAAAAACAATAACTAATACAACATTTAGGATATAATAATTTTAGCTTATTAATATGACGGAAATTTCACTTTATATTCTTACAAATTTAGGTTGGCAGTTTTAAATTGTACATTAATCTAAAAGAGACAGATCTATCTATTTATGAACTGATAATGATATGAAAAACAATTAGGAATCGTTGAACAGTGAAATACAATATTATTAGAATAAAATATAACTTAATTACTAACAAGTTTATAAACTTGACCTTGAGACATTAAAGATGGAAAGGGACTTGAACATGCAACCAATTAGTTGGAAGTTAAGTAGTGTGACCGTCAACCCACCGCTCTTATATAATCATCAACTTCATTTGAAGATCAGTCATCAACACAGTCATTACCATAACTTAAGAATGGTGCTTGTTAACAATAGGTTTGGTACATGACTTTTAACCACACCCTAGTTCCATAGAAACCTATAAGACTTGGAACTCAAACGGGAAATAAAAGGGAGAAAGTATGAAAAGAAACATTACTTCTAAAGTTAGTTTAAGTACTGAAAACACTGACATTTGTAGATTACTAGATTATTAGATCGCTCCAAATGACTCTTCTTTTAAAGTAATCTACAGTGACATTTATTAGTTTGTATGGTCTTGACATTTTGGAAGCTCTTGGAACTATGCTAAAATAGGAAATTGTTCAATCAGGATATAGCTCATAATTTGCCTTTTTCATTCGACGATGATTGAACGAAGAGTTTGTAGCTTTTAAAAATCTTTCCGGAACACTCTTGAGGGCTCCCAACAGTTAAGGAACTTGAAATTCCTCAGGTTAGTGACAGTTAGACCTTAGAATGCATATCCTTAAATTATTTCATAATGGTTTATAAGTTTGAAAACCTCTTGAACAACATTAATTTGGATTTAAAATACTCATAAGTTCATTGATTTCATCAACTAGGACTATTATGAACAACATAATGATCATAAGAGATTTAATTGAAGGAATCGTGTGGAGGTTGATTGAATTTGCAAATTGTTTGTCATAGATTGATCTCAAATGAAGTATTATTTAAAAACAGGAGCATTGAACAACTGTTCCTTCATAGTATGATGCTCCTCAGCAGTATGCACCCACGACCCAACCAGTGATTAAATCCAGATGAACGGTTGGGTATTTATGGGACAGCACGACGATTACTCCAATCTCATTGATGACAACTGTTTCGCCACTGATATGTTAGAAGTTTAGCGTACATTACTTATTACTAGAAATTTAGGAACATCTAAAACAGGGGATTCTTCAAATCACTTAAATGGCAGTTATAACTTAACGACGGTCCAAATTATCTGTAGTACAACAGGTTCCCCCCCACCTGCTTCGGTCTGGGGACCCGGGCAGTATAACAACCCATACACAAATAAAATGAAAATGACGATAGTTACTGAAAATTCTATTTACGCTTCGATCAACAGTCAAACAATTCACATTATTATTATTATTATTATTATTATTATTATTATTATTATTATTATTATTATTATTATTATTATTATTATTATTATTATTATTATTATTTACCACGTCATTTATTCACTCTCTTTTATTCCCAATCTGTTTATCCTTATTTTTCAACTTATACAGCAGCTCACCAATGGTGGAAACTCGGTTCTATCTAAACGATCTCGAGTCACTGCCTGGTTGAAAATTATATGCTACTACCAAATACGAATACTGAAGCAGTTTTCCTGAAACTACGTGCACCATTCTGGCTGCCTTCAACGTTCGCACACTTATGCAGGTCGGACAACAGATAGGAAAGTTTCGATAATGATATTAGAAGACGAAGATTATCGAAATTTATCAAAGGGACTAATTGTTTTAAAGATAGGAAAGTCTTAATATCGACGTTTGTTGTCTATCTGAGACCCATATTCAAGACTCTGGTGAAGTACAACAAATTTGCTCTCCATCTGTCGCTTCAAAAAGCTTGTTTTACGTGCGCTTGTCCGGGGACCCTATGGCTTCTTCGCCTGGTCTTGCTGGCGTTGGTGTCGCACTGAGCGCTAGAGCTGAGGCAGCACTAATCGATTGGATCCCCATTAACAATCGGTTATGTGCTGTTAGATTAGAAAGTTCCATCAAAGTGAGAAGAAATCGGCATGAGAAACGATGTCTCTTCGTCATCTCCACCTATGCTCCAACAGATTGCAGCCCGGATGCAATCAAGGATGAGTTTTACCACCAGTTATCTGTTCTTCTCCAGAAAGTGCGTTCGACAGATATTGTAGTACTAGCCGGAGATTTGAATGCTCAGGTCGGGCGTCTAGGCACAGAAGAGAGTCGTTTAGGTGGCCGATGGGGACTCGTTGGTCGCAGGTCAGATAACGGGGACCGTCTACTGCAACTGTGCACAGACCACAACCTATTTCTGGCTAGCACCAACTTTCGGCACAGTCATCGCCGATGTGCCACCTGGCGTCCTCCCTCTGCATCCCAAGCCTGGACTCATATTGATCACATCGCGATCAGCTACCGCTGGCGTGGTTGTGTACAAGACTGCCGCTCCTTTTGGAGTACCTATATGGACTCTGACCATGCCTTGGTCTGTGCCAATCTTACCCTAATTTTCAGTGGCCAACGAAGTGACCGCCACCAAAGGATTGATGTCAGCAAATTGCTTGCAACTTCTGTTGCTAGTAAGTATAGAACTGAGCTAGCTTCCAGGCTAGGTACCATTCCACCGAAAAGTATAGATGAGCATTGGTTGAAACTGCATGACGCCATCAAAATGGCGAGTAAAGCCGCGTGAGGCTCCGCGAAACGTCCCGCCTACAAGCACTGGGTTTCTTCAGGCTCCTTACAACTCATCGAAGCCCGTCGGTCTACTCCGGGTGACCGTGAGTTTGACCACAAATGAAGGATGTTACGTAAGGAAATTGGGCAAAGCTTGCGTAAGGACCGAGAAGCCTGGTGGTCGGAGCATGCTAATGAGTTGGAAGCAGCAGCTGCATCTGGTAATTACCAGAAGCTCTTCCAACTCATCCGAGCCACTGGCAGCAAGAAGTCCGTGTGATCGAAACAATCTGCGAGGATGATGGGATGCCAATCACTAACATCCATCGACGTCTTGGACGATGGGCAGAGTTTTTCGAACGGCAGTTCAACTGGCCTGCTGCTCCGGCAACATCGGTCAGACTGTCCTGCCCTCCATGGCCGATGACGATTGATCCACCAAATGAGGCGGAAGTCCGCAAGGAACTCCAACTCTTGAAGCGTTACAAATCACCTGGCCCAGATGACTTACCTCCGACTCTTTTTAAAGATGGTGGTGACTTTCTGACTAAGGAATTGACGACGTTGTTCACAAAGGTTTGGGAACTAGAGAGTGTACCAACGTCATGGAATGAGTCGATAGTTGTCCCTATCTATAAAAACGGTTCACGTCGTTCCTGTAACAACTATCGGGGGATAAGTCTACTTCCGATTGCGTCCAAGCTATTGGCTTCCGTTATACTTCGTAGGTTGTTCAAAACCCGAGAAAGATTGATTCGCGAGGAGTAGGCTGGGTTTCGTTCTGGTCGAGGATGTATTGATCATATCTTCACCCTCCACCAAATGTTAGAACACCGTCATACTTATTAAAGGCCAACAATCGTAGTGTTTCTTGACATCAGGGCTGCCTTCGATTCGTTGGACAGGACTGTTCTCTGGGATTGTCTATTGAAGAAGGGTGTGCCTGAGAAGTTTATTAACATCCTAAAAGCCCTATATACAAACACCTCAGGCAGAGTGAGAGCATACAACCATCTTTCTTCATTGTTCCATTCAAGCAGTGGGGTTAGACAGGGTTGCCCAGTCTCACTATTCCTCTTCAACTTTGCCATCGATGACATTCTGGAAACAGCTCTGATGGATGTAAGTAATGGTGGTGTGGATCTGTTGCCTGGAGAAAGACTTCTCGACCTTGAGCACGCGGATGATATTGTCTTACTGTGCGATAATGCCCAAGGCATGCAACCCACACTTAATCAGTTGGCAATCAGTGTCCGTAGGTATGGTATGTGCTTTGCACCTTCGAAGTGCAAAGTACTTCTACAAGACTGGCAGGATTCTAATCCTGTACTCACCCTGGATGGTGAGCAGATAGAAGTAGTCGAGTTCATTTATCTAGGTAGCTGTATAAGTGCTGGTGGGGGTGTGAGTGATGAGATCAATGCACGTATAGTGAAAGCCAGAGCGGATTATGCTAATCTGGGCCTCCTTTGGCGCCTTCGTGATGTTAGTCTGGCTGTAAAAGGTCGGATCTACAACGCGTCGGTGAGAGCAGTTCTGCTCTATGCTTGTGAAACCTGGCCTCTCCGAGTTGAGGACGTTAGACGACTCTGTGTTTGATCATCGTTGTTTCCGAAGGACTGCTGACATCCAGTGGCAACACCATGTCAGTAATGCAGAGGTTCGGCATCGTGTGTTCAGGTGCAAAGACGATCATCCAATTGGTGTCACCATCTTGAAACATAGACTTTGGTGGCTTGAACATGTTCTACGAATGTCGCCGAGAGAATTCCACGTCGTGCATTATTTGCCAACGCTGGGACTGGCTGGAAAAAGCGGAGAGGTGGTCAGTGTATGACACGGTGTCGTGGTATGAAAGAAAGCTGCAAAGGGCTGGCTTCTGTTGGTCCTTCACGACTCCCTGGCTGGGGTCCGAGAGATGGTGCAACATTGGCTATAGACGTTATCAGATATGGCTCAGAGTAGAAGCCAGTGACGATCCTGCTGCAACCTACTTTTACTTTCTTCATAAAAAGTGGTTGTATCTTCCTTAACTGAAAGGATTCTTCTGGTCGTACCTTTCCGTTTCCCCCATTATTATTATTATTATTATGACACTACCTTACACTAATCTGTGGTCGTTATTGTTCTCTTTTTTCCTATACGCACATTACCTTTTTTCTCTTCCCATTCTCATTGTTTTGTGTGGCACATATATATGGTGCCCCCTTGTACTGATATTTGTGTTCAAATAAAATAAAGTAAACGGGTTGAGGATCATAAAGATGTTTCGTGTTATCTGGGCTATCTGGTTTATTTATTTTTCTGATGTGAAATTTCTTGAGTCAATACTTGGTTGTTGTAGCAAAGGATTTCATTACTATATTTTGATTTTCGACACGAGCCTCAAGCATTCGCGAATTCGTTCTGGTGATCGATCACATCCGATAATGGTAGTTTATTGTCTGATTTTATCATCAATGTGGATTTTATGTCGTTGAAGATACCACTGACTAAACTGTAAAATACTTCTAGGTGATCACTTTTGATGATGGCAATGAATACATCGCCTCTAAGATTAAACAATTCAGATCAAAGAACAAAACACCTCCAAGATGATTTAGAAGTAATAAGAGATATTCACTGATGATAATGGTACACACTAAAGTTAGGCTACTGAACCAATTAAGCTGACTATCAAATAACCTATAACTTATAAATATAATTAAAATATTGGGCGAGCTGGGACTTGACTGTTTGGTGATTCAACTGTGAAAATAACTGAGAATTCAAACACCACAAGTGAGCGTTCAAATCAAAGTACCCATCCAATTGATTTTGGTCTAATATAAAACTTATATTCAAGATATATTCTTATAATTCTGAAATGAAAGTCAAGCAGGCTTACAGATATCAATCTGATTACATGAAAAAAATCTAAAACTACTAAGTAACCTAGGAATTGTTTGGGCATATGTGAAGTGTTGAACGTACTACAACAGTTATTATCAGCCACTGAAAAGAGTAGTTCTTCAACAAGTCAAAAATCATCTATGTAAAGTCAATTAGATGTGTTATAGAAGTATAAACACATGGAATGACTAACACCTGATGAAACTAAACTATATATTTTACATCATCTATTGACCTTAGTTACACAGCCATTGAAAACCAAGAAATGTTGAACAGATGCGTTGTCCTAGTATAAAACTCCCTAGCAGTAGGAAACCACGACCCCACCAAGGGTCGAGCCCAAGACCTTCGAGTTTTATGCTAAGCGCCTGACATTCGGACCACTAAGTCGAAATCTAGTGGTTAGCAATTCCAACTACAACTAACTCGCCACATTTAGCAACCATCAATCAATTCCATTAGTGGAGAACTGACTCACATGATTGAACTCCACTAGTTACAGCTTCACACTTGCACTCCGACAATTACCTTCCGAAACTATTGTTACTAAGTAGATGATTGGTGTCGATAATAATAATAACAATAATAATAATAATAATAATAATAATAATAATAATAATATAATAATAATAATAGTATAATAATAATAATAATATAATAATAACAATAATAATAATAATAATAAAGATTTGATCTTTACACTTACTTTGGTTTAGCATCAATCTCAAAAATTTTAGAGTGTTTTAGAGAGTCTACTACTTCAGACGAAGAAGTAACAGCTGGTGATATATTCTCTAACTGTTTGGAACGACCGGGTGGACGACCTCGGGGTCGTTTACTAGGTAAACTATCTGGAGTTTTTGGAATTGTATGAATAAGTTCCAAATTCTCCACTGAATTTAAAGCGCGTGAATCATTGATCTGTAGTAGTGAAATATAGAAAGAAAGTGGATATTTATCATGACAGGTTCAATAGTAAAGTATAATAGCAAAAATAAAAGTATAGGATAGCACAAGAAAACCATAAAATAAGTAAATTTGAGGAATACGTAACAGAAGTGTTCATACACAATGATCAAAATAATGAAATCTATCCTTTGCTTCTACTGCATTCTTTATAGAGCAATAAAACGAGTATATTCTCAATGAATAATATGAAAAAAGAGGGCCTCTGAAATTGATTTTTTAAGTGACAAACATATTTACATGAAATAAAAATAGGTCAAAGCATATGGAATCTTTTCAAACGCTTTTTTATGGAAAACACTTTACATTCACCAGTAACATAGTGTAAGAAATCTGGAGTTCTCCAAATGTATATTTGGGGATAGTTGAGGCAGTTATCTCACAAGTCTTACCATAACTGGGACAATAAACTCGGTAATCAGGAGACATTTTAGGCATATTGTCCCAGCGGTTCCCCAATCGAGGATTGTTTCGTATGCTGGGACAAAGTTCTGAGTTTAAGACAGACAATCATGGAACGAAAGTTGCTTTGCTAGTGTCTATTGGTTCATCATGAATACCTGGATGAAAATCCACGGAACAAAATTCAGTAGCTTGGCACATTGTTAGAAATAATTCAGATTTCATGTTAGCGATGACTTTACCACAGTTTCTATTGTGATTTTTCATAATTAGTAAAACTTATCTCTAAACTAAATGAGGGGCGTTTTAATTGTGTTACAACTCCAACTGTATCCCTTGATGCTCACTGCTCCTCCACTACTTCAATGACTTATCTCCTTTTCACTGATTATTGTGTGGTTCGTACTTATATTACGCAACTTCAACCAAAGCCAACCTCGACATGTACAGTTGGTTGGAGTAGGAATATGTTGGAAGAAAGCTAACAGCGGTTAAACTAAGATAAGGTGTCAGTTAATTAAATCACTGACTGGTAGATTGAACAGTGTTGGTAGGTGCGGAGTACCTAGTCAGAATATGTACAATAACTGAGAACAGTAGTTGATGTTAAATGATGTGGTTTATAACCAGTCATTGTGGTCAAATATATCCATTCTTTACTTTTCTCTAGATTTTGAGTTCCGGCATTTCTTCATATATACGACTTCATTCTTTCTTCTTGAACGACATTCTCAAGTTTATTCTTCCTCACTATCACTGATACTGTAATTATTTTAACTCTTTTGCTATTCATTTTGTTTTGATGATTTGGTGTGTTAACTTCAATTAACGCATATTTATGTTAGAATTTACTTTAATCATGACTGACTAACTAAATTGGTTGGATCCTAGTTGACAGGCATTCATATATCATTTAAATGAATGAATTTCTTTAAAGAACTCTGGAAAACACTGACAGAAGTATATATGTAAGTTTAGATAACGGCAAAAGATGATTTTCAGAAACCCAATATCTCACTGAGAAGTAGGATAACCCCAAAGACTTTAATACGATAACTTAGGAATTTCAATTTGAACAAAAGATCGTAGTGACCACAATTGCTACTTTGACAACCACTACCATGATCTGACAATCAAACTTCCTCTAGAAGCTTCAACACTAAATATATATTATATTGAATTAAAATGAAAAAAATCTTAATTTAATAACTTTCAGTTCATCTAAATACTTTTTTCTCAATAAAAATATACTTGCAAATATATCTACCTACCTTTGAAGAATTATCTATATTATATTTACGCCGTGAAGGCGAAGCTTTGATACTTGTTTCATCCGATTCCATAGTTAATTTATAGCTTGGCACAACGGTAGATTGTTTATTGCTGAAAGAACATTTTGCATTGTACAATAATTGACGTAGACGAGAATAATCTGGTGTATCTGTATAATTCAGCTTTATGATAGATTGAATAAATGCTAGTATATCTATAACAACGGAACAAAATAACATATTCTTTTCTCAAAAAAGAAAAAAAAGCGAAACATTGGATACAAAATTTATCACAATAAAAATCAATCATTAGGCTAGAGGTATCGGGGTGGTTGTCACTTCTAGGTCGCTCACGTTGTGGAAATATACTTCACCTTGAGAGATTTGGAAAGGGATTTGGGTTCATAATGGGTTTGATGACTTCAGAGTGACCGCAGAGCTCAACTGTTTGAGCCTGGCCACACATGGCTTTTGTATCCTTGGTTTCAAATGTTTTAGCCTTGATTTTAAAGGTCTTACCGTAGACAATGGAAATCCACGGGCCAAAGTGAGGTGTGCTATTTCTAGAGGCTGACATGTCCTACCCCCCCTTCAATCTCGAGAAAACGGTATAGCTGCAGATGCTGTGTGAGAGTAACATCTTACTGCTACCACACTCCAGTATAATCAGCAGTACAACTTTATCCTAGGACCATGAGTTTGTTGCTTTTAGTCTTACAGCTCTCTAACAAAACTGCCTGGTATAGTATGACCTGAAGGTATGAATGTTCCACTCAACATAGCTAGATTGGATCAGTTACGATCAGGTCGCAATAACAACATAAACATAAACAAACATTAATGTCGATATTATTAGCATTATAATTTCTGTAAGGGTTTGTATATATACTCGTTATTCATATACAAGACTGCGTTTGAACCAGTCTCTGAGTATGAACCGGTGAAGCGGACGCTAATAGTACCTTTAGCTACAAGTTGAATAGACATTTGATAGAGCGACTATATCTGAATACACTGAGAACTTATTCATTTTGCCTCTTGTCATATCTTTTTTATCAATAAATGATTTGTGTTGTTAGTCTTGAATGCCCATACACTATTTCAAAATGCAAAAGCTTGGAATAACGTATATCTTGTTAGCCATTGTTTCAAATTGTTCCGGTTGTAATCACAGATCTTAAATCACTTAGGCTAGTCGATAGCAATTTATGGTGTTTAAGAATGTACAGATATTTTTGTACAGTAACAAAATAAAGAAAACGTTTTACTATACCAAATAATGTTTCATAAGATAATTTCGAGAATTGGTCTACAGGAAGGACCATTTATCGACTGTGAATAAGCAGATGAAATAGTCCATTTTGGTGATGACGATATAATTTAGTCCTTCGATCGCCCTGAATAACAATACAAGCACGTTTATGGTGTGTTTCACTCCGTCTAAATGTAAAATATTGTTTCAGGAATGGTCTGCATTATCCCTTAGATTGGTCATAAGGAGTGAAGTGATTGATTGAATCAACTATCCCACTCAATTTGAAAGTTTAATCAGCCCTGCTGGGGTAGTGCCTAATGAAATATCAACACGGATTCTTAAGGCGCCCTTCGCTCAACCAACATACGTCACTTGTAGTATAGGTGAGATATCCGTTTACCAAGTAAAGAGCGAATATAGTTCACAATAGTCTGCGTTGCATTATTCTAAGACTCTGAAACATAGCTTACAAAAGTAGAAGAAATATGTAGGCGGCAAGCTTAAAAGCATTTTTGATCACGACTGATTGATTAACCTTCTGAGAAAATGTTACCAAATGTAGTAAGTAAATAGAAAAACACAAATATTAAAACCAACCAGGATTAGGTCCGTAACCAGCTTGTGATACCAATTCAGCAGGGTTTCTCATTGTTTTCCCTTTTAAGGTAGCCACAGCCACTTTCACACGATCAGGGACATTTGCACGCAGTTTTGGATCTACATAAACAGGTGAGTGGTGAGGTTAGAATAAAAATACTGTCCTATTATTTAACATGATAGATACTGGGTAATACCATATTGTGTTAGTGGTTTTCGTGACTTCATCATTTATGGCAAGCATTTTGGGAATGGATAAATATCAGTTGAATAACTGGTTAGAAATCAGGCAGCTATTAATGGTTTGTTGAGCAGTAGTTCGCTTCGTTCTACTTTATAGGTGTGAAAAACGGCCACTAAAAATAGAGGAGATTCACAGATTACTAGTATTCAATCACAGATATCTTCAAACAATTTTTCGTGTATTTTGGGACCACTGAGTAAGCAGTGCCTGAGTTAGGAATAGAGTACTGGGTAAAGATAGCAAATCGATTGTGAGGTATTAAATATTCATCAAATGAGGTGACTAAGACACGTAATATATATGCCAAACCACCGACTACTTTGACGGGTGATCTTGTCTGGTGTAGGAGTATGTTTGAAAAAAGCTAGGGTTGGCCAAACCAAAACATGGCACCAGTCCATGTAATCGTTGACGAATGGTGTAGACTACATGGTTGGAGTCCGTATGATTATCGTAACCAATGGTTAGAGACTTTGAATGACATGGCTCGAAATCGTTTGCAACGGCGGAAGTGTATCCATTCTTTATCTTCCTTCAAATTTTAGGCTTCTGAATTCTCCATAACTTTCATTGTCTTTATTTCACTAATTTATATTTTTTGAGTCACAACCTTCAAAGCTTAGACTTTTCTGTCACTACTAAAACTGTTAATACCTCTACTGCTCTTAAATGTTGCCTGACAATTTCATTTCTCCGTTCCATTGGTGTATGGCAGCTTGAACCAATGTGCATACGTACATTTTGTTTCATGTAGCGGCTGACTGAATGAGCACTCAGCCAGTCAGCTACAACGTAGGATCAGGCACATATATGCATCAGTTCAAGTTACCATACCTCATTAGCACAGCAAAATAAACACCGGATTCATAAAAGTAGTTAATTCAATGGTGGTAATATATAAAAGAAAGATTGCATATAAGGACATAGTACAGGAAGAAAGAATTAGTTCGTAGAAAGAAAGATATGAAGCGATTTTAATCTCACGGTTTAAAGGAAGACCGAAAGTGTATACACCTACGCCATTGTGATCGATTCTGAGCTGTATCACCCTAAGTCTCCAACCATTGGTTACGATGGTCACGCGGACCTCAACCAAGTAGTCTGCATCTACCAACATGACACAGACTAGAGGTTAGTGACTTCAACCACTGATGCCACGTTTTGGTTTGGCTGCCCCTAACTTTCTTCCAACCATTTCTAACACTAGTCAGCACTGAGCGTCATGGTAATCCGGTGTTCAGGTATACACAACACGTGGTCCAACCATCTCAGTCGATGAAGACTCACAACCTCATCAACTGATTTACCATCACTCCCTAATATCCTGTGTCTAACTTCACTATTACTTAGCCGGTGATCGCAGCAGATGTGAGCAATATTTATAAGGCATCTGTGGTCAAATACTAGTAGCTTACGAGTATCTTCGACTCTTAATGACCATGTTTCGCAGCCGTAAGGTAAAACAGAACGAACTGCCGTGCAGTATACTCGTCCTTTTATTGATAGACGGATATCTCACCTTTGCCATAAGTGACGTAAGTTGGCGAAAGCCGAACGAGTTTTTAGAATCCATGCTGAGATTTCGTCAGACACCAACCCATTAGGGCTGATCAGACTTCCAAGATAAGTGAAGTTGTCAATGCGTTCGACTACTCCACTCCCTATCCTTAGTTCAGGTGTTGACGCAGACCAGTCTTGAAGCAACAACTCGCATTTAGAGGGAGAGAAGGGCATTCCAAACATTCTGGCATTGTTGCTCAGTGCTACCAAAAGACTGCATTTTATCAGCGTCTTCACTAAACAGGACTATATCATCTGAATATTCTAATTCGATAAGTGGACCTCCTGGTAGGAGATCAATATCCGATAATTCAGTCGATGAGAGCGTTATTCCTATCAGTAGGTCTATGATGACGTTAAACAGAAATGGAGATAGTGGACATCCTTGACGGACACCATTTGAGGTTGCAAAAGCAGATGACAGTTCGCCATAAGCTCTGACTCGACTAGTATTGTTAGAGTAAAGAACCTTCACAAGGTTTATGTACTTCTGAGGTACGCCTTTCAGTGACAGACACTACCACAGAATCTCGCGGTCTACGGAGTCAAATGCTGCTTTCAAGTCAAGAAGGACCACCATTGTCGGACACCGATAAGCATGCCTGTGTTCTAGAACCTGACGAATAGTGAATATGTAGTCGATGCAGCCACGACCAGGTCTAAAGCCAGCCGGATTTCGTCGTGTTTTTAGTTCACGAGTCTTAGTTATGCGTCCGATAATTATCGGAGCTAGTATTTTAGATGCTATATTAGTTAAACTAATCCCTCCATGGTTGTCACAGGATGATTTTGACCCTCTCTTATACATTGGGACGATAAGTGATTGTGACCAGTCAGATGGGATAACGTCCAACTCCCAGATTCTAGCTAAAATTGGACCATCATCCTCAAAGATCTCTGGAACCAATTCATCTGGACCAGCTGCTCTTCCTCGTTTCAGACTAACGATAGACTTTTGAATTTCAGATAGAGTCGAGGGACCTACTACCTAATATCGAGTCATAGATTAAAAAGGAGTAAAACGGATCAAGTACTTAATTATTTCTATGGACAGTGTATATAGCACGTAAATTAACCATATTCCTAAAGGCTTTATCCTACTTCAATATCCCATTCACACTGTTTTGAAATGGAGGGTAGTTGTAGAGTAGCTGAAGGCCAGCTGAACTGTTCCCTAAAATGTTCCGCCCATCGTTCTAAACGTCTGGACTGAGAGCAGATGAGAGTGTCGCCTTGTTCCGAAATAGTCTCACTTACACTTGACTTGTTAATTCCAGTTTCTTTTATTAGTCTGTAAAGCTGTCTTGTGTTCCCTATAGCCGCCGCCTTTTCCATCTCTTTTGCTTCCGATGTTCACCACTGCTCACGGTCGTTCCTTAGACTTTTGTTTAACCAAGATCTGAATTGTTTACACTCTTCATCATGTTCAGAGTCTGATAGGATGGATTTACGAGAATCCATCAGTGCAATGGACCTTGAGGAAATCCATTGGTTCTTTGTAACCATGTGGTTTAAATCACTAGTAGATGTCACTGCTGTTTCCACAGCTGCTTGTATATCTTTCCAAGCAACACCTGGGTCAGCCTCGTTTTCAGAACTACCTAAGCGTGACCTCAGTTGTTCCTGGAACCTACTTTTGGTTTTCTCGTTATTCATTTCAGTTCCAATGGGTCTTTTTAGTGTGGCTTTTTTGCGTCCAGTGAGGTGCAAGAAGATGCGTGCCCGTAATAGAGCATGACCGGAGTCCAAGTAGGTACTCCAGAATGGGCGATAATCTTCTACCGACCCTCTACAACGATGACTGATGGCAATATGGTCTATTTGAGTCCATCGTTGGTTCGTTGTAAGGGGTCGCCATGTCAAATGATCTCTCCTTATGCTTAAAATTAGTGTTTTCTAAGAATAAACGATTGTCTGAGCACAGTTGCAGCAGACGATCACCATTATCTGTTCGCTGTGCCGGAATACTAAAATACCCACCTAAATGCCTTTCTGTTTGGCTTAAGATACCTATCTTGGCATTAAAGTCACCCCCTACGAGTACTATGTCTGAACGTTTAGCTCTCTGTAAAATTCATCTTTCACTTCATCCGAGCTGCAGTCAGTGGGAGCGTAGGCAGAAGCGACAAAAAGGCAACAACGTGTGACCCTATCCTTCCGAGTTCTTACGGAGTAGTTTAGCCGAACAGCACATAGATGACTGTTGACGGGGATCCCATCTAACAGTGCTTGTTTCGCCCTCATGCTTAGTGCTATACCTACACCTACCGGTCTACGAGAATTGGCCATAGGGTTGCCAGATATACGGAGGGTGTATCTCATCAGCTCTCCGTTTTGTCGAAGTGAGGTCAAGTGAATGACCACACTAGGATCCTGTATACGTGTTTCGGAGACACAGAATACATCAGTGGTACGAGATTCTAGGGTCCTAGTCAAGGAGGCCTCCTGACCGATTTGACATAGGGTGTGTACATTGAAGGCTCCAATGTGTAGTTTGGAGCGAGGTTTCGGTAGACTTGAGACAATGTTTCGTGCAATAGAATCGTTGACCATGATGACACTTGAGGAGGAAGTCAAAAAAGCAAGTTTAGAGTTGAAAGTCAATGTAGGAGGAATAATAGGAATTGAAGAGGGAGATTGATTATGAATACAGTGGTCTTGAGTGCTGTTAGAGGTATGAGGGCGGTTATCACTTCCCGTTTGCTTACACCGTGAAAGGGTTCTTCTGGAGGTACCTGAAAAGAAAATTGGATTAGAGGTGGTCTTGGTGACCTGAGAGCGTGACCGCAGTGCCCAAGGGACAACTGCTTGAGGTCGGTCACACACGACCCTTTTATGGGTAATTTTTGTGTTAGCTCCGTACTTGATGAGACCTTATCGCCGGAGACAGATATCCATGGGATAAGGCGAGATGTACATTTTTAGGGTCGACCTTTTCTAACCCCACCCCTCCTTGTGGGAAGGCAGCATCGTTGTTATGCTGGTTGTCTGAAGTAAACACCTTACTGCTGTCACACCTCTGTACAGTCAGCAATACGACTTCGCCTTCAGACCTTGGATTTGTTGCTTTTAGTCTTACCGCTGTTCAACTGACTTTTCTGGCATAGTAGGACCTTGAGGAACGGTTGTTTCAGCCAGTATAGCTCGGTTGCTTCATCACGATAGGCAAGTCTGACCACCACTTCAAGGTAGCAACAACGGTCGGGGACTGAATGAGCAACAAACGACTGTTTTATTATTCCGTGCAGTCTTACGAAAATCATGTTATGACTGGTTATTCTACCCTGAAATTAATGGTCAGTATATATTTAAAACTTAATCCATTCATGATAAACAGAAACATTGTCATCGCATTTTCTCATGAGACACGGATTCTTCTTACAAATCACTAAAATCTTCAATGGGCTAAGACAAAACAAAACTTTAATGTGTCGTTTGTTTCCAACCCCTAAATGCCCTGCTACGGCCGAGAGTGGGGAGAGTCAACTATCCCTCTCGAAATGCTCTCACATGGCCACGCGTATATAGCCTCTGCCAGGGAAGTCCTACTTACTGCCTTCTCGTGGCTGGGGTATTGTTTACGAAATTGAGAGGACAAAAAGAGAAACTCTGGTACTTTAACCGGGTTGGTGGACATGGAGAGTCCACTTAGGGGAGTTGGAAAACCCTGATTCCAAACCAACGGCGCACATGGGCTCCATTATCCTGAGGGAACAAATGGCGTATGAACCAATCGTTGGTCACCGGCTACTATAGGACTGCATCTCCTGACGTTGCTCCATTCCCTTGTGGATTAGACCTTTAGGTCAATGGCTCGGGAAGTGGCTCCCTAAGAAAACCACCTGCTTCGGCTTGTGCACCCGGTCAGTATCCTAGCCCTCACACAAATCGAGTGATTTATGTGGCGCATATCTATTTAATGCCTTCTTGTACCTGTTTATGTGTTTAAATAAATAAAATAAATAATTTTACTTAAATAAGTATCAACCTTGATAGATCAAAAATTACTGATGCTTGATATCAGAACAGACACGAATCCTTAACTGTCTTCCTCTCTAGGTAGCTGGTTCGTCAATACGTCATTAGATCTGTTTGACAACCTATTAAAAATCAAGATCATTGTATTTCAAATTTACAACTGTAAAAACATGTTCAATGAGGTTAGATGTGTGCGTTATTAGTATTCGATCAAATATTTTTTTGAAGGGATATAAATATAAACGTGTATTTAGCGAGTGTATAAAGCAATTCACATTAAATCACGACTGCACTATAGATGAAATACCTGATATGAGATGTCCCCAAGGAAGACCTGTCGAATGCAATTGAGGGGCATTTGGATGAGATCTAGCTAACCAATGAATGAGATTGTAAACCAAAATTTCCAAATCTCCTCTACGAGATGGTGGAAGTCCTACAAATAAAAAAGACAAATAGCACTTCACGGTAAGAAAATAATAATTTATCCAACAAAATGCATTTAACATTAGACATACATACTAATTCAGCGTGAAATACACTGGATGCAACCTATATATCTGCCTACTTTTCAATTGTTACTTAAGATATTAAACAAAATATAAGACTAAGAAAAACATACATGGTGACAAATACACTGGTAGACATGTAGAACTGCTAAGAGAACAACTGATATCATAATGCACGGCAAGAATCAAAGCTTTGAAGAATCCAGTTAACTTTGGAAGAAAAAACAACCCAAAGCACAACAGAACGTGGGATCTAGGACATAAAAAATGTGAAAAAACTTTCCTCGAACAAATATAATCAGACTATTTCCTATTAGTGTACAAAAACTACACCAAAATGACATGAACTTGAATTTGAGAGGGGCTTAACTAATCATTTAAGCCGATCCGCGTAGATTGAATTGACTAAGTGTATGGAAAACGGCTCCATAAAATTAAAGTTGATTAAGGGCTCATTGTTTAATGTTTCATATTTAAACAACCAATAATAAGATTTATCAGAAGTATAAAATAGGTAATATACATTCAGAAATCAATGTCCCGATAATACTCACAGAACATCCAAACATTGTTGAGTTATACTTTAACACTCAATACCCTATATGTAAAATAATCTCCAACTACAATTCAACGGAGTGAAGAGGAATAACTAGAAACAACCATACAAGAAGACAATAATTATTGCTACTACTCAATGCTACGACTTTCCAATAATTCAGCAAATATAACTAGTTGGGTAATTTTTCTAGCTTATAAAAAAAACTTAATACAAATACACATTATATTTCGAGTTGTATCTACATTTTATAACTGAGAAAAGTATTGAAACTTTTATTCTGAAAAAAACATCAGCACAATATGTGAGTAAAAAAAATCATTTAAAATAACAGATAAATGCAAAAATATAATATTCTTCTGAATATACCAACCGTTATGTGCATCTCTTGAACAAAATTCTATTGTTCCATTGTGACGAAATTTTGGATCTGCCTTTTCAGCAGTATGTACACCTTTTGAACGAAATAAGTGAACTAGACCAAAGTCAGCTAAATAAACCTGAAATTAATTTTTTTTTAAAACGAGTTTGGAATGATCAAGTATGTTTTCATTTCTAATTTTATTGAGGACAAACAAAAATTCGGTGAGATTATAATTTATGGGAGACCTTTGACACATTGTAAAATGGTCTTGAAAAATTTCAACCACTTACTAGGCTCAAAATAGGGCTAAGAATTAGTGTTGGGGATCATTAGTTAAGACTAGGGATACTAACTGACACTAGCAATAATCCAAATATGCTTTGTGGCCATATGAATGAACGGACTTTGCACAAAATTCCAAAAAACACTACTATCTTAAGTCTGATTGGTTGATCTATTAACTATAATCTTCAGTGAGATTATAAAAATTATGGTCTCGCCACAACCGGGAAAGATTTTATTCATTTTGAAGATACATATTTTACGGTTGATAACATAGTGGGAAAATGTAGTGTCAGTTATAAACGTAGAACCTGATGCACATGTCCACTACCCAATCCTAAAATGACACGAAGAGATGAAAATAAAATGAATATCAAAGTAAAGTTAGTAATAATAGTGAGAAAGACCAAATGGAAAGACAGAATGCAAATGTATCTACGAAAGAATACTGAATCTTAAGATCTAAAACAAGATAGAAAATAAATGCATTTGCACCATTGTAGCCAATGTTTAGTCATGCCACCTAACATCGACCGCCGATCGCAGTTAAGAACACTGTAGTAGGATCCTCGTTCACTTCTATTCTGAAACACTTTCGACAACTGTTACGGAGAAATAGTTTTTAGTGAATTGTGATGATTCACCTTTACAGGGTTGTTAAAAAGAATAAACAGGATGCTGATCAGTAGATAATGTTCAATAATACTAGGTGACCAAGCGATAACTACTAATGAGACCAGATTAGCGACTCAAATCATACGATGTACAAGAAGGACATTGTCATTCTGTTCAAAAAAAAGGATTTTTTCGTTAAAATAACATGTTCATATCCAAAATATTAGTTACAAATATGCACATGATCAAATATATAATGTTTGGAGAATATAACGTTTGTAAGTTACTCATCAGCTAATAAAATAAGGACTAGATTTTAGAGCTGATTCTGACTAGCCATATTAAGTCCTCCGCGAAATGATGTGGGATTTCTCCAGGGCAACTGATGAAGTGTTAGAAAGTATGATTGCTTGATCAGTTCAATATGATAATAGTTCGGTTTAATATTCGATTAGATTTCGATAAACTCAGTTATTAGTTATTTCAGTATGCATTGTACTGTGATTTCTGTTATGTGTCTATTCAATTTTGACATCTGTTCATTGAGAAATTCGTTTTTAAGCTAGTAATTAGTTGAATGTAATAAACAATTACCGAAAAGAGAAATTATGTAGAAGATCGTACTTTGTATAAAATATATTCTTCAGTCTCATGAAAGGTTTGTCTTCGCAAGAACTAAGCGGCTAGAGTAAAGAATTTCAAGAATATAGTGTTACAAAGTAATTGCAATGAGTTCACTAGGTCTTGCGTTAACATTTTTCCAATAGCGTAACATAGAATAGGTCAAAACAACTTGTGGGGAAAATAAGTGATATAAACCAATGCATGTCTCACATGAATTTAAAAAGGATGTTTACAGTTGCAAACGTGAAGAGGTCAGTTATATAAAGAAATTTCAAAATTAATTATCTACACAATTAATTAACTATCCAAAACTAACCTCCTGTTGCGACGTTCTATGAAGAAGATTTGATGCTTTGATATCTGCATGTGCATAGTCCCTTGAATGCAAATATTCCAACGCATTTAACTAAAACGTTTTAAAGATTATGAACTAGATAAACTACCAATACAAAAACGCTGTTAGGAAAAACGAAGGCTAATGTAATGAATTATGCAAATAATTTCAGTACCCTAAACTATGTGGAAGGTTGACAAAAATGCAATTTCAAATATATGACCTCTTCAGGGTAAATTTTACTCAATACTTTCACGTAGTGCTTCTATAAGAAGTAAGGGTGAAATCAAACGCTCAACGCCTAAAGCGGATAAGAGGAGAATCTGCCTAGGGTAGTTAGATAATTCTGAATCCAAACCACTAGCTTACATCGACTCCATAACCTTGTAGAAACAAGTTACAGATACATTTACTCTAGTCAACGGCTAATCAGGAAATCCAGTCCTTAATACTGTTATAAGGCCTAGAGAGTGCTTTTCCTCAAACAATTATCTGCTTCAATGTCGGTGACTACATTATTTTGATCAGTCTGAACCTTATATCATCTTGTATCTGGGTGCGTTCCCAACTCCGCTTGGTCTATTCTCTTTCTCACTTTAATTTTAAGTATATATCCTACTCTACAACTTGTGTTTACATGAACGGCTGGTTTTATTCATTCTTCACCCAGCACGATATGATAGAAATATTATGAAAGCACAATTTTTAAAAATGGTTATTGATGAAAAATACAGTAGTCAGTACTATATCAAAATGTTATTCCTCTACCACGCTGACTTCTTCAATATGCTATCTCAAAGTGAGATGCTTTAAATAAAAATAATAAACTCCCGAGTCCTGCGTCATTTTATCCAGTCAGAAGACATACAAATAAAGATTTGTAGTATACGCAGTATACAATAAAATCTTTTAAAAGCTAAATGACACGCAGCTTTATGGTCAAAATACTCACCACATTTGCACAGGCTTCTAGAATACCAGATGTGGATATTTCATTATTTTTTAGTGTAGTTTCCAAATCTCCAGAAAACCGATCCATTACAAGAAATCGGAGAGCTGCTTTGTTTAAATTGATTGATCCACTGCTTATATACCTCGGAATACCAAGGTATTTGAGGGAGTGTTTTACTTTCCATGAATTGACTTTTATATTAACCGTGTGAAAAAAACAACAGGTAAACATTACCAAATATGAGTATGTTTAAATCTTAAATAGGAGAGAACATTTTAAAATACAAATATGTATTCGAAACCAAGCGGATTGATTGATGAGTTTACGAAATAAAACGCCTGAACAGTGATAGACATCTTTTATGGATCTTACTAACTGTAAACGCATAACGTTATTTGGGTCACAGACTCACTGAAACGATTCCCAATTATAAAGACAAAACTATCGCCATTAAATACTATGATAACAGGATAAAGATTGAAAGTGAAACCGGGACATGTTGATACGTCTATTACTTTTGATCACTGGGTTACGGATACAAAAACAGTTTACTTCAAATCAAACAGTTTGGCAATATTAATAATTTGAGCAACAAATATGACCCACATCCTAGTATAAGAACTTATATTTGGTTACCAGTTCCCACTACTTAATTGAAACAACATTTAACTTTTCTAATCCTGCAAAGGAAGCAACAAACTGAAGCACCTTAACAGTCAGGTAAACATATTTGCCAGATTTTAAATACTTGTGATGACGAAAGATACCATATGACCAAAAAATTATAGTGATCCAAATCCGTAGATTTCCGGCTGCAGTCAAGTTGTTCAAATTAGCAACCCAATTCGTCAGCGAAGAATCCAAGGTAAAAAGTCCATTTTGATACATACATACTACCGGTTTGCAACAAGGACAGAAATATATACTTATAATCAATTGAAGCGCGGATACTTTTACCAGTCATTTACAAGATAAATGCTCAAAAAATGGACATTACACACAGTAAATAAGCTTAACTAAGTCCCCAGCATTTCGTATAAACTTTAGGAGTGTTGAGGTTATTTTATGCTCTATAAAATCTAGTAAGGAAGTTACGATGCTAGTTGTTAACCTGAATTCACATTTTCAGGAGCCCCAGTAGGTAGAAACAACCTGTTTCAGGACTGTGTCTTCACTAGTCTTATGTAGATAATAATCTGTTGCTGATACGCAACATTAGGCAACGTTGGTGCATCACACTGTTATCCTAACTTTTCAAACACAAGCAGACTTTATACCATTGGTTACTGCTTGAACAGCTGTAACTCATCTAATTATACTATTACATCCCAGAAATCTATTGTCTGTACATTCAAAACTACTGCGTTATCCAGAAATATGGCTGAGTAAAAACCCAGGTTGTATAAAAACTAGAATGTAAATATGGAACAGGTTCAACGGAAGTCATAAAAATGTAATCCAAAACATAATACGTTATCGGATAGGGAGTTAGCTTGGACATCTCAACAGATTCCTAATATCCGTTGGTTTATCTCAACACGAAGAACGATGAAGCTTGCAAATTATCTGCCTAAAAGATTTAGAGTCTAAGGAAGAGGAAGAGTAACTGGAATACTGTTCTAAAAGCTTTCTCAGCTTATCCATGCCCGTCTGGAGAGGAAATGTGATGCTAGTAATACAATACGAGACAAACTGAGTACGAATCATGAGAATCATTCTTGAAATACTCAGTTTACTATGCTAACAAATATAATATGCATTCTGTGCCCAACGGTGATAAACGATTGTTTGTAGCAAAAAAAGACTTTTGGTGTGCTAAAAAACACAATCAAGGAGGTTCGTCTCACTTTCCAATGGTGGTAGTGATGTAGTAAAAACAAATGAATTATTTCATTCGTAACAAACAAACCATTTCTTGTGAATAAAACCACTACTGTGACCATACTCTAAAGTAATCTGCAGGCACTTAAATCTGCTACCAATCACATCTTAAGTGTACACATTGTGGAAATAACTGGCTTTCAGATACCGGACTTTTTGTACATACCAAGAATCTCATATTCGTTACAATCAGATACATAATGAGGAACAAGAAATATTTCTTGAAACTATAGATGCTTAATAAGTTTACATTCCGAAAATTTATGAACCACGTGGATTAACCTCCCAAGCTAGTTTCTTGCAAGTTGTGATATCCGATGTCTTGGAATTTCAGAATAAGGCTATATTTATTTAACATTACATACCAGTAGTAAGATTCATCAGGATTATTTCACTTCTCAATCACAACGCACGAACGGCATTTTAGAGATAGCCACAAAGGAATTCTATCGTAAGTAAACGCTTATTAACTGTGGAAAGCATATGATACACTGAATGTGATGTGAATACCAGGGAATTCATCCAAAACAAGTAACTAGCGGGAGACCGTAATTTACGGACAGACCAAGAAAACTAACGCTAAAGTTTAGGATTTTGGCATACATATGGTTAAGTAGAGTTTCTGCATCATAACTGATGTCATTTCATGTTGAAAACCATTACCATAATTTCTAACCCTATCTTTAAATCCTAATCTCGATTTCCCATAATAATTTTCAACTGCCGACCGTAATAAGCAAGCGAATCTTCTCAAGGTTACTTCAGAGTCACTTAAAGGTTTCCATAAATCCGTCTAACCGAATAACTGCACAAAAATGTGGTGGTGATGGTGAACAAGACTCACTATTGTGTAGTGATGGTCACAGCTGTATGTATATGCTAAACTTTGCCTCCAAACCGACATTTCTGTACAATGGCTCTCAACAAATACGTCACTTTAGAAACAGAACAGCCCATAACTTTCAATTTTCAACTATGAAGCTAAAAACAATTAGTAGCAAAGTGAGATGCATCAAGAAACAGGACACACTTTCGGATAAAGTACCTAAACACCTCTCTATTATGACTAATTTGTCTGTATGATTGGAAGATACCTTTCGAGGAGAGCATCCCCATATTTAACAAGTTATTTTACATGATGGTATGCCAAGCAATAGTTATGTTGATCGTGTATCTAATGGCAAAGGATTATTTCCCAGGTACAGCCTGAAGAGTAAAAAGTTACCTTCTAAAACAATAGTTTGAACCCAAGTACGAAGTAAAGTAACAACTTTTTATACTCCTGATTAAAATACACTTGGAAAACATACTTGAGTCTTCTGAACATGCCCTCATGTAAAAGTGCATTTCCGTAAAAAGTGGCCCGTTTTCTTGCGGTTCCTGAAGATTACTTTAGAAATTCCAAAATCCTTACTATTTTAATGACATAGCGAAAATTTTTTTCGCCTTCAAGTTTGGCTGCGTCAGTTATTAAGAAGCTAAGAACCAAATTTACCTGAGTATATACGTCCAAATCCACCCTGACCAATCGCAGAACCCGTGACCCATCTCCTTTTTAATGAGTCCTGTATTAGCGTTCCGGGATCTATCGGCTGTGCTAGGCTGTACCCAGATGATTTTACGGCCCTACACCTTCGGACCGACATTTCAAAATACCAACCGCCTGTCCGACCTTGAACACATCTGAGAAGACGCTTGCTTATCGCGAGCTTACTTAATCCATGATTTGTGAATATGTACCATGACTAAAATAGGTACTGAACAAAGCTAGAAAATATCCCAGATGTCGTTTTCTTTCTCAAAAAGTATCCTTGTATGGTTTTAAATGACGGTGAGCATTTGTGGAAATGTTTAATTTCTGCAAACATCCTGTGGTGTTTGAATTAACTGATGTTTCTTTTGTACTTCTTGAATGCTTGATTTCGAATTCCAAATACAATACATTCGTTTGTGCTTGTGCCGTAATTCTTGATCCAATTGCGTTAATTCTGAGATTCCTAGTTCATACGATAATTCATATATTATACATTCACACCAATCATTTCATCAAATTTGAACAATTATGGTTACTGGACGAAAGATTGTTTTTTATATTTACTCTGAACTTTTTCCAGTACAATAGCTCTATTTGAACGACAGACTTGGTTGTTCACAAAATACCTTGTTGCTCATACACTGTTTGTTGACATCCAGTCAGCTTCCATATCGGCAGACTATTAAAAAAGTTTTCACATGAATGAACAGACAATATATGTATCCTCATTGCTAGATAATACATTAAATATTACCTGGGACTATTTGGTATATTTTACAATCAATAATTACACTATAATTTATAGCCAGAGAGCACCATGTGTACTAGGGAAGTATGCATAGAAGCCTGATTGTGGAGAGTTGGTAAAGAGAAGAAAAAAGAAAAGGTGAGTCGATGACCCAGCTGGAGCACCCACATTTAATAATGAAAGTAATCCACAACATTTAGAAACAATATAAGCCTCAGTTTATGACAATCTTAGAAGCAGGTAGTTCAAACATCTACAAATAGTGGATTTAGTAGTTAATTAAATGAGCCGAATCTCAAAGTTAAAGACTAACTAGCCAATTTCACTTACGTATTTATGTTTCGTATATCCTTAATTAACTCAACATACAACGATTCAGTAATACAGTTGCCATTTCGATATTTATATTTTTGGTTCGACACAAACTTTGGCAGTGTGTCACAAAACTGACACATTTTGCCTTAGAACATGAATCCTCACTGTTGAACCCTTTCCCCACTCACTTTTATGGCAAAATAGCGGATATTCAGTTCCTAACCCTACCAGGAAGCAGTGGTCACATCGTATTGTACTCTAGGATTCGAGCACAATACATAGTACACACCTTTCTCGCTTCGTCTTAATATCTGGCTGGATAGCGTTAATGAAATCTGAGGTTATACTGTCTCAGCTTAAATGGGTCGACTGAAGAGGAAAGCTACATCCGAAGAATACCATCCCATGGCTAACTTCATGTGAGCTATTACGTCGTCTTTCATACATCGACAGGAAAATCCATAAGGTGCCAAAGGACTCGTTCTGAAGGGCGGGTTATGCATCACTTCGCCAAGGAGTCAATGGTCCATTTAAAATGACAGTGGTTTTATCGCTGGAAGTTTATCAAATCGACACTTTCGAGTATTTTCTACATGTGGAAACCACGTTAGTGAAAGCTCTCTTTGAACTGTCATAAGATGGGTGGTGAAAACGCTCGAATGTTTTTCCCTTGTGTTATCAAACAACACGAAGTCACCTCGTGTTGTCATTCCAAATCTTGGATTATCTAGGTGGTAATGTCTTATCTTTTAGCTCCCTCCAGGACACATTACTTCTGAAGTCACAAAAAAAAGGTTCAAAACCCACAACCGAGTAAACCAAGTGTGGGATCCCATTGTTCCCGTCAGGTGGTAAACAAAAGGAACGTTCTATCCGAACAAGTAATATCATTCCTATCAGTAAACACCTTTAAAGTGAGTCTGGATTGCCACTGAAAGACAAACTACAAAGTTTAACACAGACCAACTACCAACCATCCTTACCACTGGAAACTAAAATACTCCACTCCAAAATTTCGTTTCAAGAGATATAGAAACTAATTAACATCCAGGATCTGGGATTAAATTAAGGGAAGGCCATTTTAGATTCTGAATGCAATGAACCACAATTTTCATTGCAAGTTTGTGTCAAAGACCTTCGCCCGAAAGTGTAATCACAAATAATTCTCTGGAATAGAATGTTTTTTGAACAAATGATATTGTCATTGACGTTGCCCCTCATGAAGGATGTGGTTAGACAGTGCCATCGAACCACCCCACGACCTAGCATGAAGCTACATTCTTGCTCCCAATAGCCAATTTAGATATCCTGTGGTGGTTTTGGTTCCCGATCATATGATCCTTGAAGCATAACGTACGATGACTGGAAAGATTTAAATTGAACATTTAACACGTAGAGAAGCTCAGAAATAGTGAACACGAGAGCACTTTATCTGTATGGTATGGCTCGCTCACGCAAACGTGGTCAGTCTTTGTAACTTCCTCCTTTTTATATCAAATATATTAAGCTATCCTCAGCCCAAACGTCCTCCAGAAGTGCGAAACATCATATCACTGTAGGAGTATTAGCATAGAAAATGGTGGGATTTCCACACAAGATCTTATAGACTCTGTAGTAACATCACGGCAAGCCTACAATTTTGGGATTGGGTCTATTATTCTATTAGCGTGGATAAGTGCACTTATACCGACCTATGCCACAGTTCTACAAGCTGTCCTTCACTGGCACCGTTACACGTCTTCGCGTGAATCTAAGGAGGCAAGTAAACATATGTCGCAAACCATACGAAATTGGAGGAACTCCCAAATTTTCGATGTATGTACGCTCGAATTTAGTGTCGGGGTGACGGAGGCACCCACTACAGAGCTAATTTGACGACGGAAATTGAAGTGACATTACATGCAGGCCAGTATCGAATTAAGAACATCCCGATTCATGCTTGGCCCTGCCAAATACTCTCTCATAAACTTGATCGTGACTTTTATTCATGGTTACGATATATTCTACTTAATTTAGAAAACCTTTCACCATAATTCTGTCGGCCCATAGATATCTCACACATTGCTTTTGCACAGGCTAACAGAACTTCTACGAATACTAAAGAAGTTGTGTTATCAGATCTTGGTCTCCTTAATTCAATATCCATCCAGTGCAGAATCGCCATACTGTGGTAGCCGACTTCAACTGACATTAATGCACTTTTCGTTACTCTATGTCAAGAATCTGCTACTTCGTTAACATTGCCTTGAATAAACTGGGAAATAAATTTTAACTGTCGAATTTTCCTTGGCGTATTACAACCCCACTTGGCGTTTAATGTTTTTACTAAAGGTTTATGACCTATATAGACAGCAAAACTGTACCTTCTACCATATATCGGAAGTGCTTTACTGTCAGGTAAATCTGTAGCACTTTTCTTTCGAACGTACTGTACCTCATCACAGCTAGATTCGATCACTTTGAGGAAAACGAACGTGGTTTCCATGTGGCGTTTCCGAACCGCTCCTACTTCCATGTTCGACGAAACAGACATGATGGCTAATTGCATTTTGCTTTTTCGTGAAACCGGCATCGTCTTCTCGTCTAGCTCTAATTAGTCATTTTCGAGTGACTACATAGTCCTTGTAGATATTTGGAATGTTCGGGCATGTCCTCGCAAGGATTCCATTAATGGTTGCAATGTTATCCCACAGTTTGAGATAAATCGTCTATAATAATTAAGTAGATCCGGAAATCGTCGCGGTTTCTTCTGTGATTCTGGTAACGGATAGCAGCAACTTTGTAGAATTATGGTCTACTATGATAGTAGTATTGAGCTAATAATAGACTTAATCCTAAAATTGTAGAATTGTCATGATATAACTGCCTAATCCATAAGATCTTACGTAGAAGTCATACCATCGTCTACACCAACTCATCGTATCGTAACAATCATCAATACATGATGTAGAATAATCTTAGGCTAGAATAGAGTTACTGAACAGCAAGCATTGATGGTGAGGGTGATAACTTCAATCCACCCGTGTTTGTGGGGGCAGAACATTTTGTATGTATCAGGCTCTTTATGATTGAGAATAAGTCAATCAATCTGTGATATAGATTGTTTTTCTACGCTCACCACTCAGACTCACGTTTCCAATATTATGCTGGATTAGCTATTCTACTAAGACAACCTATGACATACTAACTCGGACTTTTACACTAGGATTGTGTGGCTGGCATCGGGTAAACAAAAAAAGGAAAAAAAGTTATACAACAAAAGATATAGTCATTAGTATTCTTAACACTTCGCACTCTATATACACACTTTTCTAATAAACCGCTTTCCTTGTACCAGCCTTGACTTCCTTTCCTTCATGTGAGCTTACTACAACTCGTTAAACGACACAACTCATTGTTCTTCATTATTACATTCTCTAATATGGAGCCTCTGACTTCATTCCACTCTAACAAGAGATAATATGGATTTATTCTAATTTATTATTACCTCTGTCCGTTCTACTACATAATGTTAAGCAACGTTTGGAGTTCACATCCAAGTGCCTTGCTGCTCTGCTGTTTCTCTTTTTTCTTCTTCAGAAATTTGCTCTGAGGGCACAGCTATGAAACTTCTGACGTCTGGAACAAACTTGACGCACGCGTCCCCTCAAGGTCACAGTTTACAGCAAGCGCTCTACGGTTATACTTTATAACAACTATCAACTTAATAAGTTGCGAAGCATTTTGTGAACCAACAAATGTTGTAATTTATAGATCATGCCTGTAAAAATGGCGTGTACATGCGCATGCAGAAATATATATTATTATATTTAATATGAATAAAATATAACATTCACCAGGGACCATGCCTGCAAGGCCGAGTCATGCCATTCGATTAACTCCGATTAATTCAATACCTTGTTCCCACTTTCGCCATCGTTAGGTATTTCTCCGCGTTAAATATTGAATATCTATTTTCCGAGTAGTCTCGTGTTCAGCTTTAGAGGATTGTGTGGCTGTGGTCCAATGCCACTACACTACTCTCCCATCAAAATCAACTTAATGTTGATTTGATACTGAATTGGGTGGGATTGTCGCGCGCCGGGGGTTACCAAGT